TCTCTTTGATGGACGTTAGCAGTTGCACAGGCCGAAACTAGACATCTGAAACCTGAACGTTTGGGCAAAATCTGAAGTTTTTGCTATGTTCCTGTCTAGAAGACTACCTGTGCCTCGGGCTCATTTTCAAGAAGCTACTAGTAGTAAGGCACCTTGCTACTAGTAGCGTCCTTGCTACTATTGTTCCTGACGCTTCGCGTCGACCGCCGCCCACGCCTTCTTTTTTTTTCGGTCGTCTGGGGAAAGAGTGGACAGGGGAGGTCGGGAGTGGTGTCCAAAGAGATGGCTTGTTTGCCGCAGCGTCTATGGCCATGTTGCGGCTGAGTTACGCACAAGTTCGCTCGTTTGGTGGCCATGTTAAAGCCAATTCAGGCTCCAAGTTCGACCGTTTTGTGGCCTTGCCCCCGCTTGGTTAGTCCACATTACATCATGTCAAGGCTAGCTTGATCGTTTGGTGACCCTGTGTTGAGGCTACGCTGAGTTTTTTTGCAATAATGCTGGTTATGCGTTGCTGGTCAGGATGGTTTTTCAGCATCGTGGGTGTCCGTTTTTGGCTTGTTTGGGCTCTTGCAGAAATAGTCCAAAAATGTGCCTCCAACAATGCTGGTTATGCATTGCTGGTCAGGATGGGTTTTTCAGCATCGTGGGTGTCCTTTTTTTTGGCTTGTTTGGGTTCTTGCAGACATAGTCCAAAAATGTACCTCCAAAACGCTCTCCCCCGTGGCCCTCGAGGCGTAAGACGTTTTTCCCCGAAACAAAAAAAGGCACCCCCCTAGCAGAGCTATGAACTGATTACGATGTGATGATTGACTGACGATGATTCCAGCTTGACCCGCCCCTAACACGCCCTGCACCGCAAGCGGTGTGGGCGGATTTTTGTGATGTGCAGCCAGGCGTGGGTTGGGGGGAATGAAGTTCCTCTTCGCTACAGCGACGGTGTTTGAGTTTCTACGCGCAATGTGCGGACGTTCACTCTTCAGGAAGCTACTAGGGGCTCCTGGCATCGCTACTAGGAGCAAGGAAGCAAAAGGAGACTTCGAATCTAGGAGTCAGAAAACGACGGTCTCCCCTGCAAATGGTCGCCACGGTCTCCCGACTCTACTGTCAACGCATTGGCCAGTCTTTCTTCAGGCGGCACGCCAGCATGCGGTCTATTGTTGTGGTGTTTTTTGATGTGTAAAAGACTTCGTGGACTTCAGAAGACTGCTGGTGTATTTTGTTATTGTTCTCTGCTGCGTGACGTCTCGACTTTCTGAACATGCCGTTTACAGTGCCATTCCAACTTGGTAGCACTTTGCGTCAGAAGCCTGGAGCTGGCATGGGACTCTGGCATGGCACACGGGAAAACGATTGCTTCACACGGCAAAGAGCATGTTTTTTCATTTACGGACTGACACGTAGCTGCTAGTAACGGCTCCTGGCCTTACTACTAGGAGCAAGGACGCTACTAGGGGGTTGTGGCATCGCTACTAGGAGCATTCATACTACTAGTAACAAGAAGCTACACTTGCCGCAGCTTTGTCGATCGCAAAAAACCACATCCACTCGCCTTCATCCCCACTCCGCAGGATGTTTGAATGTCAGAAACACTGTGACCCTGTGACCTCCCATGAGAAAGCATGTTCACAAACATTCAAGTCTGATTTATCCGACGCATCTTCAACGGCCTCCACTTGTATATTAATCATACATATTATCTATGCGATCTGCAAAACCAACCCCCGCATGCGCCTGCTCGCCAGTGAGAAGAAAAGCCAGTGCAGCCCAGAACCTACTAGCGATGGCCTTCAACCTAGAAGCAATGGCCTCCAACCTAATTAGTAGCGATGGCCTCCACCCTAGTAGCGATGGCCTCCAACTTACTAGCGATGGCCTCTAACCTGCTAGCGATGGCCTCCAACCTACTAGCGATGGCCTCCAACCTAGAAGCGATGGCCTCCAACCTACTAGCGAAAGCCTCCAACTTAGTAGTGATGGCCTCCAGAAGCAACTGCACTTCGTACCACATTGCTTTTGGCTTTGATGCTTTTGCTGTTTGGTGCATACCTGGTGCAGTCCAGAGGGTAGCTCGAAACGTTCATGGCCAGGACGGCATCCCTGCAGGTGGTTTTGGGACAAAGTTGCCTGCCACCGAAGCCATTTCAAGACTTCGAAGTGCCGTGACCAGTCGCAGATGAAAAGAGAAGTGGTCGAAGCATGTCCAAGTTTCAAAGCATGTGGTTTTCGAGGAAATCATTGTGCAGCTTTTGAAAGGATTGCTCAGCGAGGTTTTGTAGCCAATTCCCTTCCATCCAGCATCTCTTTTGCAGAGCTTCGGTTTAGCTGTTTTGTTTCAAGCTTCGATTGGACACTTTGAAGCACTTTGCAAATTTGCCGGATCTTGGGCAAGTCTTCCGGCCACAGAATGATCAAATTTGCTGGACAAACACGATTGCGTCACCATGAAGCTTCAAACACGCGATAATGCTTATTGACCAAACTGCTCAACTTTTCGACCGCAGCTTGGTTTGGGAAGACTAGGGCAACCTGTACTAGGTTCCGACACCCGTGATGATTCTGTCACGCTCTTTGTGCCTCAGCCTCTGCTGGGAGACCAAGCGTGTTGGACTGTCGGAATCTGTCGGCAGAAGGCACACATGTGATGTTTGTTTGAGAGGCTTGAGAGCGTTTGTTCAAGAACTCTTCAGTATCTCAAGCAAGAAAGCCTAGTAGGTTGGAGGCCATCGCTACTAGGGTTGAGGCAATCGCCAGTAGGTTGGGGGCCATCGCTACTAGGGTGGAGGCCATCGCCAGTAGGTTGGAGGCCATCGCCACTAGGGTGGAGGCCATCGCCAATAGGTTGGAGGCCATCGCTACTATAGGTTGGAGGCCATCGCTACTGGGGTGGTCATCGCTAGTTGGAGGCCATCGCTACTAGGGTGGAGGCCATCCCTAGTAGGTTGGAGGCCATCGCTACTAGGGTGGAGGCCATCGCTAGCAGGTTGGAGGCCATAGGTTGGAGGCCATCGCTACTAGGGTGCAGGCCATCGCTAGGAGGTTGGAGGCCATCGCTACTAGGGTGGATGCCATCGCTACTGGGGT